ATGCTTAGCCAAGTGACAATTCTCCAGATGTGCTATGTGGATCCCTGAGTGCCAGGGAAAGTCTACCAGTTGCTCCCCTAACTATCTCCTGAATTTCCGTCCTTCACCAACTCAAAGGCAACCTTCTCCGTGAACCATTTGAGACTCATTCAGTACTGATCACTCTTCTTCTGCATTCCCAAAGCTCCTGGCCTGAACAAAACACTTTCATGGGCTTATTATCAATGATTCTGTACATACAAAAAAAACCATAATGACATAATCAACACTTCCTTTAGTAGAGAAGCTGTGAACAGATCCCCATGATCTCCATCTCCTGGTGTCCAGACCTTTCTATAATCCCCTCCCTGTGAATGTGGGTAGTGCCGGTGCCTTGCTTCTAACTGAACCTGGCAAAGGTGATAGGATGTCGTGCCCATGGTTACATGAACCTGAATAAGACTTGGTCCTCCTACCTGACTCACTCTAGTCAGCCTCCTTGCAAGTGCAGGTAAAGCAAGAAGCTATGTTGGAAAAGCCTGTGTGATGAGGAACAACAGGCAATCTCTAGGAACTCTGGGAAGTCTCCACCATTATATGTCAAGAAGCTAAGGCCCTAGGTCCAACAACTGGGTGAATGCTACCAACCTGAATGAATCTGGAGATTCTTCTGATCAAACCTCCAGATGAGAACACAGCCCAGTCAATATCTTCATTGCAACCTCATGAGAGCCCACGCAGCAGGTGAGCCAAGCCATTGAACTATGAGTTAATTGTCAAGCTACTAAATTTGTAGTTATCTGTTATACAACAAGAGAAAACTAATACCCACGTACCCACCATTTGATGTGATAAACTTTATAATACAAGTGAAGCCCTGTGAACCTTCCCTTTATTGTATTTCCTTTCCTATCAAGTATTTCTTAATATTTTCCTGGGCATGTGTTCTTCAACATCTATAGCATTGTTTTATATGACGTTAACCTTTATATTTCTTTAAAAATGTATATATAATGTTCATAATATTTGGCAGCAATCTATCCTGAGAATCTTACCACTATCCATCCCTGACTTGTTGCTTAAGGCCTCACAATTCTCCAAAGGGGACCAGCTCCTGTCAGCCTGGGTCAGCAACAGCACACGTCTGTGACGTCATGCCAATGGACCCTTAGCACCAGAAAGCACCTTAGGGTTCAAATCCAGCCCCTCACCTCTATTTTGCAAGTGAAGGAGTCTCTGGTTCAGTGATATGAGTGGACTTGCCCAGGCCTCAAGGCAAATGGTAGACACAAGACTGGGTCACAGGCTTATGCCCAGCTCCGTGCTTTCTACACTGAATCATCTGGCTCTCAGACTATGCCTGTCCAGGATTTGGCCTGATTATGCCATTAGCACTAGGATTCTATTAATTAGAAGTTAGTCACATTCAAAGGGTGACTGTACAAAGGTTGGACACCAGGAGTTGGAGATCATGAGGGGCCTCACAGCCTTTCCACTACTGTAGTTGTTGAATATTTCAGTACTTTTTTGGGGAGGTATCATTGCCATTTGGGAGGTATCATTGTGTGCTTTTGTCAAATGAGTCCGAATGTAAAGACCTAGATTGAGCCCTTCTGGGCTGTCATTTGCAATGATTTTCCCATTAATGGGGCCTCCCCAAGTAGGAGGAATTCAACAGTTTTAGAACTGCCAGGAGAACTTACAGCATCTATTATGGCCTTTCCCACATTGGTATTTTTCATTTAGCAAGAGCCAAGTTGTGCTCAAGCTAACTAAGTCCCAGATGTGGAAATGGAAGCTGATCATCTACCCTAACCCTGATCCCCCCAGTGGAACCTCTTCCAGCACAGATGGGAGATGCCCCAATTCCTGCCCAACCCATCTGGGGCTCATCTCAACACAGTGTTACCACGTCTTCCCTCAGGCCTCTGAACTGGAGCCTGTCATTCTTCTGGGGAAACACAGCCTTGCCCTCCACTTTCTTCCATCTGTGCCCCTCATCCCCCCATTTAAAACAGCGGAAAGCTTTATATGACAAATAAAGTCTCACTTAATCCTGAGCAAATAGCTGGGGGAGGGGAACAAGCAGTGGTGGAAGGAGAGCAGCCCGGGGCTTGCTTCCAAAATCAGGCTGCCAGGGTCTCTGGAGCCCTGGAACACTGGAAGTTTCTTGCACATCTGCAAGACTTTTCTTCCCAACAAACCACTCCCTGTTCCAGTCAGAACTAAGCAAAAGAGCAACACATATCCATCAGAGACCAAGGCAGGATGCCAGGGATTTCCCCAGCTCCTCTGCTGCCCCATGCTACAAATGAGAGTAGGGGATGCATTACTCTCTGTCAGGGAGGCCAAGTTCCTCACCCACCAGCCCAAGTCTCCAGCACAAACCCTGCACATGGTGAGAGGCTGCTATTGTGTGGATGCTGGTGTTCCCCCAGAATTGATATGGTGGAATTTTATCTTCAGTGCAGCAATATTGAGGTGAACCTTTGGGGAAGTGAGTAAGTTATAAGGGCTCTGTTTTATCATGCTTGGGTTTAGTGCCCTTATAAGAGATGGAAAGGAACATGTTTGCCCTTCTGTTATGTGGGGACACACAGAAGTTACCATCAGTAAGGAACATTTCCTCACCAGACACTGAATCCTCAGCACCTTGATCTTAGCCTTCCCAGCTACCAGAATTGGAAGCAATAAATTTCTGTTCTCTGTAGATAGGAACAGAGAGCTGACTGTCCTGAGATGCCTCCTACTTGAACAAAGTTGTTACCTGTAGGTACATGTATGTCTTTTCATGGTAGCAGAGAGGTGTGGAGAATTAAGGGAACAGTTATCTGCCCCAGACCGCAGTTTACCCATGTAGAATAGCAGAAAAAGGAACAGAGAGCCTTTGGCTGGTTTGCTGGCACAGATTCAAGTTCAAAATAAGCCGAATCTGGGGACAGTGAAAGGTGCTCACGGCAGGTGACTCAAAAGCTAGGATCCACACATACCCCTGTTTTTCAGGGACACAAAGCCTGTCACCCCACAGTGAGAAGAGCCACACTAAGTGAAGCTTTCCATGGGAGACCTAACAAGCTGAGGTAAGTTTGTGTGAAGCCCATCTTCTCAGTGTTTGGCTTTCGAGGTGAGGGACAGAGATAGGAGGGCCTTTGGGAAAGGTGAAGCCAGTGATAGGAGGAGCACATGTCACCAACCTTCTTTCATCCCAGCTTGGGACTGGAGACAGCCTCCTTGCCCCACTGGGGACAGCGGCAGTGGAGTGACTGCCTGCCCCGGCCTGCTCTCAGCCAGCCCCGATACACTAACCAGCGCAAACAAAGGTTCTCCGTCTTTCGAGCCAGCTTCTCTCCACAGAAGGAATAAAATGGCCCACTTAGTTTTATCACTCACCGATTTCCTGAGAAATGGACTATTAGTTCCCCTAATGTAAATATAATAAGCTTGTCCCCCTTGGCAAACGTCACAGCCCCAGCAGAAATAGACGCACAGCACTGTCAAGACGCCTTCCAAGCTGATGATGAAGGGTCTGTGAGCAGGACCAGGACCAGGACCAGGACAGGAATTCGGGGGCAGGCCTGCGCTTCTATCCACAGCCTGCAGGAGGTGAGCCCTTGGTGGCCAGGGTGAGGACATTTGTGCCCTCAGAGCCTCATTCGCTTTTTCCCCTGGCCAGTGGGACTTGGGTGGGTACTGCTGAAGGAGATGAGCCCCATGCTGAGTGAGGGTGGCCCTTGCTCCAGCAGAGGTAGAAAACACTGCTTCCAAGCAGGCTCACAAAGGCAGAGGGTTTCCAGGCTGGCCCTGCCACCACTAAAAAACAGTATTCCCAATCATACACACAAAGTAAGTGGATATAATGAAAATAATCCCATGAAACCGGTGGGAAGCCTGAGCGTCCTACAGGTAAAGCCACAATGAAGAGGCAAGACAAGTCTGAGTTGACTCTAGGATAGAGGGCAAGGGTCCCAAGCCACAGAAAGAATGCTCCCCAGGAGAGTGGCCTTGCTAGTTCCTATCTACGTATCCTTTAGTCCCCGCCCTCTATCTGTATCTCCCAAGACAGAAGCTTCTGCAGCATCAGCTCTTGGGGACTTCAGCAGTGAAGATCTATCTGCATGGAGTGTGGGAGCTCCTCAGCCCTGGGTAAGGGCCATGCTCTCATATCCAGAGTGGGCAAAGGGCTTGGCTCTGCCCAGGTAATGCAGAAGACAGGCCTTCCACGCTGAGCCAGGACCTTGGGAGGCATCAGGGTAGTTAGTCACACCACTGTCACATTACTACTCTACTCTTCACCTGTATGCCCTCCCTTCATCTAGGTTGTATGCTCTGTGAGTGCCAGGGTGTTGGCTGATACCATTTTTTCCCTCCTAGGGAGCTTTGCAGCACTGGACAGATAATGGGAGCTCCCACTGATTGATCAGAATGGGGCAGCAGGGCACGGCTCTGTTCACACTGAACATGAGTGTGTGATATGCAGATCACTTTTTCTGCCAAAAGCTCTGCTTCCGGTTCCTGTAAGCCCCAGGCCCGGCATGCATCAGGGGGCCTCCCCTGTTCCCACCTCTGCTAACCTGTCCTTGAAGCTGTAGCAGCATAAGCAGGTGGACAGCAGGGACAGCCTCACCTAGAGAGCAAGGGCAGCTCCCTGCTGTCCTGTCCTTTTGGCTTCTGGAGCCCTGGGGGTTGCCACTGTGGTCTGAGGATGAGGGCAAATGCACTCACCATCATTCTGTTCTGAAGAAAAGGTCTGTCTAGAGACTCTGGGCCGTCCTTGTGAGGGCTGCACAATCTAGGAGGGGAATGTCACCTTTGGCCATCACTTTACGGCTCCCTGGCTATCAGAACCCTTCTAAAGGACAGTGATGGGGAAGTGGAATCATTGTGCATTTCAGAAAAGAGATACTGGGATCCAAATACCACCCCAGCTACATCAAGGTTTCAAAAAAGAAGAATGGATATATCTGCATCGGGGGAAATAGTGGAAAAGTTCCCTGGGAACACAGAAGGATGAGGCCAGAGAATTTTAGCAAGTGAATGAGTAGGACTGGCCAGTTTACTAATCATCTGTCTTTTCCTACTGCTTCTCATCCTCCTCCACCTTCTCCTCCTCCTCCTTCTCCTCCTCCTGTCTACTGCAGGAGCTCTGGGGCTCTCTCTCCCCAGCCAGCTCCACATGCTGCTGCTCTGTCAGAAGGTGGCATGCCAGCTGCTCCAGGGCTTCCAGGCTCACCCTCTGCAGGCATCCCTCATGCTCCTGCCTCAGTAGCTGCAGCACTGCCTTGGCATCCTGGGGCCCAAAGTGTTTGGCTAGGACCCTGTCCAGCTGAAGCCACAGGGGCTGGGCTTGGTCCTGAGGCTGGAGGGCTTTGTCTGCTGCTGCTTTATCCAAAGGCCGCACGATGACATGGATGGAGGCATTGGGCCCAATGCAGTAGTCCGAGAGGCACTTGTCATCATCCAGGAGCTGGCCACGGAACATCAAGTGCTGCTGCTCCTCAGGCACCTGCAGCTGCTCAGACACCAGCTTCTTCAGCGTGGCCACGCTTTCTTGCCCTGACACCTTCAGGCTACATTTCCGTCCCAAGAGCAGCTTGACTGTGAGGAACATTGGGCCGGAGCAGAATTAGGAGGGATCCATGCTCTAGTTGCTGCCCTGAAGACTAAAGGGCCCTGTAGGAGAAGGTAGCCCTATCACTGGCAGGCCAGTAGCCCTGGAGGCTGAGAGCCTCGCCCAGGTGAGCAACTACTGGCTAATGCGGAGTGATGTCATAATGTTGCAGGAGGGCTCACTTTTAGAGTGGAACTTTAGGGACAGCAGAGGGACACTGTGGGCTCAGAGCCTTATTCCTCCATGAGAGTAGAAAGGGGGGAAGAAGAGGAAAAAGGAGTGGAAAGGGAAAAAATGGTAGACCTAGGAGAATGGAGACTGGGGACAGAAAGGGAGAACTGGAAAGGACAGAATGGCCCAAGGAACGTGTCTGCTGATTTATTCAACATGTATGTATTAGGTCCCTTCTCTGCCAGGACCTGCTCCCAAAGAGACAATAATACCAAAACAGATACCTTCTGCCTTCATGAAGCCATCAGACCAGAGAGCTGGCTTGCCTTGATCAAGTGTCTTCTTCCTGTCAAGCACATAATGAGCTCTCTTGGAGGGGTTTTTCAGAAGCAAACTTTGGGACAGGAATATGAGCACAGGTGTCTAGTTGGAAGGTGACCTCAGAAGGTACCAGTGGGACAGTGAGGAAGGGAGATGATGAAGGGAGGGAACCAAAACCTGCATCATCAGCAGGCTGCCACAAATAAACCCAAGCTATACCACCTAAGAACCAGGAAGCTGAATCATGATGCTTTGACTCCTAACTTTGGTTAATAGAGTACCATCTCCTTGGCCCTCCAGGTCCACAGGGGTGCAGGGCATGCTCTACAAACCAGAGAAAATATGTGGGCAAAGATTTACAGATGTCTGCAGTAAGAAGTCATCAGAACTTCAGGAACATGATCATTGCAGGAACAGGGCAGGGCCATCAACTATGTCTCTTTTACATCCATTGCCTTATTTAATCTTTACAACCTACAAGGCAGATACCTTCCTAATACTCACTGGCCAGAGGAGAAAGTAGAGGGCACAGCAAGCAGCATGCAGCTGTGTCTTTACTGTTACCTGTCTTGCCAGCATCTGCTCAATTCATGTGCTATACACTGAGAAGATACCCAGGGTTCAAGGTAAATAACGAAAAGGACATGGACTCAGGGCTCTTCTGAGTTAGCACCTGTTGCTCTTGGCAGTTTTCAATGCAACCCATTGTTGAAGGCATCCTGAGTCAGTCCCTTTATATGCATTTTCATGGGTAAGACCTTGAGTAAGACATTATCTCAGTTTAGAAGAGAGCAAACTTGGAGCAGGCCTGGCTGCCCTGTCCAGCGCAGCTCTTGAAATTCCTAGGGGGAGAATAGTGGAGGATGAAGAAATGAAGACAAAAGTCAGAACACAGAAAGCTGAGGTCAAGTGGAGCCCTCTCTCATGATGGGAGAAAAGGAACTGCCCAAGGACTGCAGCGAGTGGTTGATGTCAATTTCAACCCCTCTGCCTAACAACCTGTTTGCCTGGCTTGCCTATAGTTCTTGGAGTTCGAACATCTTGTTTATGTGGCTCATCTTGGGCACTCCATGCTCTAAGTGCTCAGGGCTCGTCTTGCTTTAGCCCCACACATGTGGTTGATCTCCAGCCTCAGCCACTCCCCAGAGCTGACCAACATCCCACAGTGGGTGGGCTGATTCTGTCAGGAACTCCCGGCTCTCATGCTTATCTGTTTTGCTTGCCAGTACCCACCCATTTCTTTTACCCATCCCTGACTTCCTTTCCGCCCTTTCCTTCCTCAAAGATGTTGACTGTTGCCAACATCCTTGAGCTTTTCAATCTTGCTCTTCCACAACACTGAGCCTCTGATTCCTGCCCCAAGGTTGCTTCAGAGTTTACCCCTGTCTTTGGGCTCTGGTAACCAAGGTCACCTGAAGAAGATGCCCACAGATGCCATGAACTTAGCCTGCCCTCATGTCTTCTACCACCTTCCCTGCTTTTTCCAGTGCTGGGCAGAAATGATCCCACCTTTCTGTGCAAACCAGTACTCCCCTTGAACACACTTGTTGATGCACCTAGAACATCTGTATCTATGTCTCCCTCCCTGGCTCTCAGAGGGAGAGACTGGGTCTCATCTAGGTTTGTGTCCCCTACCTCCAGCACACTAAGCTTGGCTCACAAATAGCCTTGAAAGCATGCTTGTAAATACAGAAGGTGCACTTTAGATATGCCGAGCCACACAGGAGCCTGCAAGACTCAATACAGCAAGCCGTGAAATGACAGAAGCCTGCCTGCAACCTCTCCCTCACCCTGCTGCTTCCCCTAGAGAGAGATGAAAATCCAAAATTACATAAAAATAAATCAGAAAGTAACTCCAGTCTTTACCAAAGGATCTTCTACAGTATTTCTTTAAATAGCCAGTTCCCTGGGTGCATTGAAATAAGGCCAAATTTGCAAATGTACATACAGTGGGGGAGGGGTGGGCTCCATGATGGCAGGGCATCTGTACAAAGGAAGAGGTGGGATGGATGAGGTTTCTCTGAGGCCATTTGGAGCCCCTGGAGGGGAGGGCCCTGTGGTGGACAAACCAGTCAATAGCCGGGGTTGGGGTCAGCCTGTTGGGGATGCCCAGAATAGAACTAACCAAGGAAAGTATCCTGGAGGGTGAGGTTTGAATCATCTTCTGCAGGAGACAGGAGAAAGATGAGATGGGAAGGAGAGTGACCTATGGGTCACTCTCACAACCTATGGGTCTTCTGAGGAAAGGGACAAAAGCCAGACTTGTGGACATAGAAGAAATCTCTCCAGCTTCTCCTCCCAGAACCATCTACCCAGTTGTGCACTGCCAAAATCACTGGAAGCCCCCAGTGAAGTCTTGTGGGACCTTGACGCCTAGAAGCATAACAGCCATAGCCCAGGCTGCATCTCTCCAAGGCCAGTGACACATGTAGGAAGGTGTCCTGGGATAGGGCATTTAAAGGTCACACCTGCTGGGACACACTTTCCAAATCAAGGTACTTGGCCTAGGAAACCCCCGTATCCACGGACTATGAGGACAGAAACTTCTGAATTAGTAACCTCTAGGAATGCTGAGAGAAATGGCCACTACTGAGCGGCAAAAGCGCCTGCCTGGCAAGCGCAAGGTCGTGAGTTCGGTTCCCGGTACCAGAGAAAAACCAAAAAAAAAAAAAAAAAAGAAATGGCCACCACTCAACCCCTGTGTCTGTGCCCTGGAATTTTGCTGCCCTCCTAAGGGGGATAGTAAGGGCATCTTGCTGGGCTCTCAAAGTATATTTGGAGCCTGAAAATTCCCTAAGTTTTTTTCCATGTAATTGTTTGTCTTAATTATACAATTAATATGAAAAATATATGCAATCCGACAATGATTATCAAAACTGGATTGGGGGATCACCTGGAATGTGTGGGTTTTGTGATTTGGGGGAAAGGTACAAACTCATGCTGGGTAGTAGTGGGCTCAGATCCCTCTTGAAAACAACTGCAAAGTCACCTAGTGTCACCAGAAAACCAGCACAATATCTACCCAGGAAGATGGGTGGAGGTGGGAGAGAGCTTTGGGAAAGATCTGTGAGCGTCCAAGTTCCTACAGCCCTTCACAGTACTCCTGAACAGGCTATTGAACCTTGGTTCACTGAGGGCATGATCTCCATAGGGTACAAGACAAGGGTTTAGCTGCTGACCTAGGGCTTGCCTTGCACTGGGTCTCATTTTGCTCCTCTGTCTAACGGGAGTGTGACCACTGCCCAGCCTCCCTCTCAGGGTTGCTGTGAGGGCCAAAAGCAGGTCGTACCCCTAGGACCTACCAGAGTGTCTGACGTTAAATTTGCAAATGGAAATAGAAACTCTTACTGTCAGCCCTCTGTCAGGGAAGATTCCACTGGGCCTAGAAATATGCCCATAGTATGTCTCCTCATAGGTTCTCTGTCTGCTCAAATAGGCAGGCAAAGCAGTCTTCTGCAGGCGGGCCTTGCCAGAGAGGGGAAGACAGGGGTGGAAAATATTCGCTGATAGCCAAGGGGCACTCTGGGCAGCAGGGAGTTCACAGCAACTCCCTGGGGCTGCACAAAAAGCTCATCATAAAAATAAATTGTGACTTCTGCTCACCTCACTCCCTGGAAGTTATCAAGTTACTGCACTTTGATGATGTCAGGTCAGCCTTGCAGGGGACTTCTAGGGTAAGACAATAACTGGGAGGTAAGAGCAAAATATATAAACAGTGGGGCAGGGGGACAATCAGGGCATAAGAAAAGTGCAGGAAATGCTTAGGCAAGAGAGACCACAGAGGGGAGATAAAGAAAGGAGGGTTAGAGAAAAGGTACAGGCCAGGGGTGTCCCTCTGCCCTCTACTGATACATAAGTCTGGAAAAGTTTCATGGGAAAGCTTGGACAGGGGAAGTGGAATCCATCAGAAGCTCTTCATCACATAGAGTAAAGCTTTCAGTTATTCCTGGCACTCCCTGCTGCTTCCACCACCCCATAAAAACCCCACTGGTGATGTGGCTGCCGCTTGTAAGGCCCCAGACAAACATCAGCAAAATCTTAGACAGCCTGGGGTAACAGCTGTGCCAATTCTGTACCAGCAGAGACCCCTGCCCCTTTGAGGAGGGGTCTCTTGAGGCTGCTTTGTGCTCCACCAGGCCTAGCTCAGAACAAGCAGCTCTTTAGGGGTCCCCTAGCAGGAGGAGGGCAATAGATGTGACGGGGCTGCAGGAGCCCAGGGAACACTGGGTATATAGTCCCACACCAGCTCTTGATGGCTCGGGCACCACAGCATCTGTCCAAGCCTTGGTCCTAGTACCAGACAACCTAAGTCCTACCCTGTGTTACTGTCCTAGAGCCCTGGAGAAGTCAGACATTGGCTGGGGCAGTTGGGAAGTCTGGTTCCTGAACTGAGCAGAACTCATACCTTCCGGAAAACCTCATGGGCCTGAAACCTGCTGTGACCACTAGATGTCACTGGTGACTTCCTTGGCCAGCTCTAGCAGCCAAACAAGTAAGCTTCCGGCTTGGACACATGAGACTGGACCCCAGGTACAGGGCCTCATAGGGACCTAAGTCCCCTCCTCCTGCAGACTTGCATTCATTCCTCTGCGTGGCCTCGCCAGTCACACTGGGGACACAAATGTCAGGGCCCGCCCTGAGCAGGGC